ACACACACACACACAAACATATACTGTATATTATATTATCATATCGACATTTACATTTACAGGCATGTCTAGAGGGGATCTAGAGGTGTGGCAATGGGTGGTAGCAACCATCCCTAGAATGAGAAGAATGCCTGGACAAATTTTGATTCTTTTTAAAAATAACTTGAAAAAAAACTGAAATTAACGTTATGGGCACTTTTTAGACTAATTGATAGGCTTAAGTTAAAGTAAAAAAGACATATATATATTTGGAAAATTGTCTCAAGATTTAGAAATAAAACTAATTATGTATTTGTAATGCAACATTTGTATTCAATGGTTCACTAATATGCCACAATATAAATACATATAAATAACATAATGTTTTTGAGTTAAAGGACCAGTGTGTAGGCGTTAGTGGCATCTAGTGGTGAAGCTGCAGAATGCAAATAACTGAGCACAGCTCGCATCAGTATCTGACAACCTGGGAATAAAAACTGGCTGTGAAGTTTGCAGGAGAAACTACGGCATCTGCGAAGTTAGCAAAAAATGCAAAAGGCCCTAACTATAGCCAGTGTTTGGTTTGTCCATTCTGGGCTACTGTAGAAACATAGCGGTTCAACAAAGTGGACTCCATAGTGACGATTCCTATATTCAGGTGATTATTCACTAATGAAAACATACCCAATAATAAATATAATACTGAATATTATATTAAAATTTTGCAAATATTTCCTCCTATGTTAAACACCAGTGTGATAAAGGTCCAGTGACCTTTATCTTTATTAAGGGAGCTTTCCAAGAACATATTGATATCAGCATGAATCAGCATATATTTCTGCCACCCCTTAAAGTCTCCATGCCACCGCATAAATATTTCTTTAGATCTGCCCCTGCACATACATTTCAGTTACATTTGCATGTGTGAGCAATCGTATCAGCACAAATAATTTACGGCTGTGTGCAGCTCTGCCTAAATGATATCAGATACAACAACATGTGTTCAAGGGGGAGGCTCTCCTCACAGAAAAATGCATGCATGCTTTCACCATCCAGCATTCACTGTGTGCATCTATGTGCATGTGTGCATTTACCTCCACAGTGAGAGCAGTAACAACGGTTGAGTTGAGCGTTGGGTCCTGTTGGTGCTTCTTGTAAACCACTCTATAATGGGAAATGAGACCGTTGGGCTGTCCTGGTTCACTCCATTTCAGTTGGGCTGAGTATGCACCTGTCGAAGTGGACAGCATGTGGGACTGTTACAGTGATTCAATGCAAGAACGTTTTAATTCCACTTGTTTTAATTAAAAGTGGTGGACTCACTGGTGGGTGTGACAGTGGGAGGGGCCATATCTTTTGGTTCTGCCGGCAAGGTCTGCGCTAAAGCCCACTGGCTCAGAACTGAGCCTTTGGAGTTGTGGCCCCGGACCCTGTACTGGAAGTAGCTGAAGGGTCGCAGGGCGGGGCTTGCATCAAAAAACTCAAGCGGTCCACCGGACCAGATGAAAACCAGCAGCTCCTCCTCTGTTCCTACTGGACGCCTGTAATAGAATCCAAAACTTGGATTAGCCATTCATCATTGTTGATATCTTATAGCCCAAATAAAAAAAGTAAAAGCAGGTATTTTCTGTATACTAAAACAAAAAAGTTTAATTAAATTAAACCACTTAAGTTGCACTTAAAGGACCAGTGTATAGGATTTAGTGGCATCTAGTAGTGTAGTTGCAGATTATAAACCCCCTCGCTTCACCCTCCCCTTACAAGCACAAAGGAGAAACTACAGTGACCGCAAAACACCCCAGCTGCGGTATCTGTAGATGAAAAACTCTAGATAAGATAAGGCTCATTCAAGGTTACAAAAACACAAAGATTCTTATTTTAAGGAGATCATACACTAATGAAAACATGTTCCGATAGATCCTCTATCAATGCTACACACTAGATCTTTAAGATATGTTTGAATAATCAATAAAGTGTTATTTTTTATGTATTATTAGGAACCTTTAGCTACCAAAATAGTTTATGTTTATATTTGGTGCATTTGCAGCATATTGAAAATGTCCTTGAATTATGCACAAAAAAAATGGTGTCTCAAGCATGTTATCTAAAAGTATTTTTACTATATTTAAGTATTTAGTAGTAGTAAGTAAGTATGCTGCAAATAAGCACACTTTGTGTGGAATTGAAATAAAAAATGTGACATCACGTCTTAAACAACATGTGTAAGTCACTGGCTGATGCAAGCAACCTGATGTCTTGGTAAGCCCCTTTGTCTGTGATTACGTAGGGTTTCAGGTGAGAGAGAGATTTTCCTATTTTATCCAAGTCCCTGTCTGCCTGAGTCTGATCATGCCAGGTGTGTCAGTGTGTGTGTGTGCGTGTGAACTGCTATGCTAATGTGTGTTTCCTGAGGACTTAAAGGGCTTAGTCTGGTCTGACCCTGCATACAGATCACACACTCTTTGGTCAACAAGCAGACCACGACCTTCAGCATGCATTAATACACACACGCAGACCCATATGCACACACACAGGCACACACGCACAACCAAACACCACAAAGTCACGATAGATTGGTAAGCAGACACTTTCCTAAAGCCACATCCTCCAAACTTCTATGCTTTTCTGTATGTAAAGGTAAATATATATATTATGTGTATGTGTGTTACTTATGGTTCATTAGTGTTGTAGTGATATCTACAGCACATGGACACATTGGCTTGTATAAGTACATAAGAATGTGAAAACTGTTGTTTCCATCCTTAATTTCTGTCTATACTTCCATCACTATTCACTCAAATACATTTTCTCATAATCAAAAAAGACTTCCTCCTCCAGACAATGAGTCGCATGTAAATAAAACACACTGTATGTTCATTTTTTAGAAATGGCTGATCAACTATGTATACAGTATATATGTGTTGTTTTTTAGTGTATGTTACCTGTATATATGATAGGATGTGATGAGTCCGTTGGGTTTTTTGGGGGGTGACCAGTGGATCTCCAGGACACTGGCTCCAGCTGCCTTTACTGTGGGGGGCTGCAGACCTTCTGGGATGGTCTCTAAAGTCTGAACATATACACCCCCTCCCACTCCACACCCCTCTACAAGGGGAAAAACAGCAGCAATTTGTCACAAAACACACATTTGTAGGAAGATGTCTCCAGTGTATTTATTTCTTTTACAATAAATTAGATCAATAATATACCATGCCAGTGAAAAAGGGCCTCTCAGTTCTGCACATTTGTAACTCTCAACAGAGATGAGAAGAGAAGGAGAACACAGCATGACTCACTAGTTTTTTTCCATCATGAGCTCTGAAAAAAAATACTTGTTTACTTATTTTTCCCAATATTCAAGTCTTCTGATGAGGTCTATGGATGTGACTTTTTACACTGCCCGTGCCCAAAAAAAGAGCTCACCTAGATTTACACTAAACACAATTGGTAAGAGCCTTCCAATTGGAGTAATTACTGCATGACTCAATATGTTTCAGCGGAACAAGTGATATTGTAACCCTAAACTGATGCTGTGAGTAGCTTCCTCATTTCTAAAAACCATGTCGGAAGACCATATCCTGTGATCGTGGAAAGGATGTTAATCAGTTTCAGAAGGGTCAATTGTATTGGCACTGCAGCAAGCAAAGAAAACAACTTAGGAGATTGCAGTAACCCGGTCCAACACGCATTATTAACCTTGGAAGGGATAGTGGTGAACCATCCTTCGCAAGGAAGAAATGTGTGTCGGAAAAAACTTATGATATATGTGTGTCGGAGATCACTTAACACGTTTGGTGAA